CCCAGGGCCTTGAGCATGCAAGGCAAGCGCTCTACCACTGAGCCACCTTCCCAGCCCTCCCCCTCTTTTTATCTATTTTATTTTATTTTTTTTCAGTCCTAGGGTTTGAACTCAAGGCCTGGGTGCTGTCCCTTAGCCTCTTTGTGCTCAAGGCTAGCGCTCTACCTCTTGAGCCACAGCACCATTTCTGGCTTTTTCTGAGTAGATTATTGGAGATAAGACTCTCAAGGACTTTCCTGCTCTGGCTGGCTTTGAACTGTGATTCTCATATCTCTCAGCGCTCTCCTGAGTAGCCAGTATTACAGGCATGAGCCACCAGTGCCTGGTTCCTCACACACACCTCTTTTTTGTAGTGTGGAGTATTGAACCCACCGTCTTGAGATACTAGTGGAGCCCTCTACCACTTCAGCCATGCTCCCACTCATTTTGTTTGTTTTGTTTAATTTTGCTTGTTTGTTTTTGAGACAGGATCTTACTTTGCTCATGTTGGCTTCACACTCAAGATCCTCCTGCCTCCACCTTTGAAGTAGCTTGGATTACAGGTATATGCCACTACCCTTGGCTATAAAACTCTTTTCTTTGTAAATCACCTAGCCAAGCCAGGCATCATGACATGTACCCTTATAATCTGAGCACTCTGGAAGCTTAGACAGGAAGATTTACTGGTTTGAGGCTGGCCTACATACTATAGACAACCTAGGCTTCATAGAAAAACCCTGTCTCAAACCAGCTCCTCACTCGAGGCTGAAGCTCTACCACTTGAGCCACAGCTCTGCTTCTGATGGGCTGAAGAGTCTCACAGACTTTCCTGCCCAGGCTGACTTTGGTGACCCTCAGGTCTGAGCCTCTGAGTAGCTAGGATTAAGAGCCAATCAACTTTAAAAGCATAGGCTTAGTTGGGTGCTTGTGGCACAGGCCTGTAATCCTAGCTACTCAGGCTGAGATCTGATGATCAAGGTTCAAAACCAGCCAGGGTAGGAATGTCTTAAATGACTTGTATCTCCAATTAACCACCAAACAGCCAGAAGGAGAGCTGTGGCTCAAATGGTAGAGTAGCCTTGAGCATAAAAGTTCAAGGACAGAGCCCCCACTTGAGTTCAAGCCCCAGGACTGGCACACACAAAAAAGTATAGGGCTGGGCTGGGAATGTGGGTCAGTGGTAGAGTGCTTGCTTAACATGCATGAAGCCCCGGGTTCAATTCTTTAGTACCACATAAACAGAAAAAGCTGGAAGTGGCACCGTGGCTCAAGTGGTAGAGCCCTAGTCTTGAGCTGAAGAACTCAGAGACAGTACCCAGTCCCAGAGTTCAAGCCCCATGGTTGGCAAAAACAAAACAAAATAAGGTATAGGGCTAGTTCTTCAAATGTTAAACAGGAAAGGAAAACAAGTGGCAGGTTTTATGGCCCATACCTGCAATCCCAACACCCAAGAAACGGAGGCAGGGGATAATGAGTTCAAAGTCAGTGTGGCCTATATAGCAAGACCCTGTTTCAAAAAGAAAATTATGCATAAAAGCCGGGCAATGGTGACTCACGCCTGTAATCCTAGCTACTCAGGAGGCTGAGATCTGAGGATCCAGGTTCAGCTGGGGCAGGAAAGTTCGTGAGACGCTTATTTCCAATTAACTGCAGGGTGGGGAGGAAAGGGGGAGGGGAAGGGAGAGGGGGGGGTCTCACTAGAAAACCGGAAGTGGTGCAGCTCAAGCGGTAGAGCCCTCGCCTTGAGCTGAAGAGCACAGGGACAGTGCCCAAGCCCAGAGTTCAAGCCCCACGACCAACAAAAGAAACCAAAAAACAAAAAGGAAAATATGCATAACTAATGTAAGCTAATTTAAAAAAAAGAAAATTAAAATTATAAAACCAACATTAAAAACATGAATTAAGGCTAGGAAGGTGGCTCAGTGGCTGAGTGCTGGCCTTGCATGCCTGAGGCCCTGGGTTCAATTCCTCAGCACCACATAAGCAAAAAGAAAAAAGCTGGAAGTGGCGCTGTGGCTCAAGTGGTAGAGCAC